CTTATGGTTTTGGGTGCAATTGTAAATGGGATCGACTCCTTAATTTCTCTTTCTTCTGTCTTGTTGTTGGTGTATAGGAATGCCACTGTAAGTCTTCTAACTTCTAATCCACTTTCTACCCAACATATTTCTTTTAGATTTTTAAAAAAATTTATTTATTTGAGAGAGAGAGAAAGAGAGAGTGAGTGCATGAGCAGGAGGGTGGGGTAGAGGGAGAAGCAGACTCCACACTGAGCAGGGACCGATGCAGGACTCAATCCCAGGACCCTGGGATCATGACCTGAGCTGAAGGCAGACACTTAACTGGCTGAGCCACCCAGGTGCTGCCCACCATATTTTATGCTACTGCCATTTTATGACAGATTCTGTCCCACACATTTTTTCCAAGGGACTAAGGCAGGCATGGTCCCATGCTGCTTGTTCAAGTAAAAACTCATTTTGCCCTTGCCGATTTTTCTGGAATATTCCAATTTTAATTTTTGAATTTTCCTGAATTATCAAATTTTATAATATGTGATTTATTATCCCTAAACCTTAGGTTAGGAGATGAGGGAAAAAAAAAGAAAAGGACAAGCAAAGTCAAAGATGCGGTGAACACACTCAAAGTTAGGGAAGATCAAGGATGTTGCTTAATTTTAATAACAGTTTTGTGACTCAAACTGTTTTCACCATCTCCCTAAAGCATCAGCATCTTTTTCTGTGATTCAAGCAAGAATTTGATTATGTCTAAGATAGTCCCTGTTCTTGGCCACAACTATAGTGTTTATACGTTTTCTCATGCTGTTTCACATACTTGTATGGCCTGTTGTTTTCTGTATCTGAATACTCATCATGACCCACATCCTCCAATAAACCTTCCCTGACTATTAGAGTCCACACAGATGCTTTTCCTCTTCCTAACATTTAGAGATCTTGAAATCATACTTCTATGGTGAATAGGTTGGATACTATCTTGTAGTACGATATATATGTTATAAATAGTATATAGATTATTATATATACCATATATTCTATACTAAATACTATATATTTATAGTACATTATACTATATATT